CGTCTCCCTTCACTGGGTGGTCGGTTAGGAACTTCGCTACCGCTTTTCCCTTGACAGACTTACGAGTCATTTACTTCAAATCAAATTCGGATAGAAAAAACAACCAACGGGCTAGCCTACCCATAAGCGATGGTTTCTCGAAGAGATATTTGATGTGATCTAATCTCGAAACCAGAATTACGGAGTGAGCTAACAGGTAGTGCCTCAACTTCCTGGTAGCCCATATCAAGGCCAAGCAAGCCTTCTCCAGCGGAGTGTAACGGGTCTTATATTCCAGTATCTTCTTGCTCAGGTAATAGATGGCCTTCTCCACTCTATCCTCAGATTCCTATGCAAGCATGCAACCCATTGTTGTGTCGGTTACTGACAAGTACAAAATCAACTGCTTTCCCGGCTCTTGCGGTGATAACACGGGTGGTTTCTGTAGATACTGCTTGATCTGCTCAAAAGCAACCTGGCATTGGTCATCCCATTGGAATTTCTTTCCTTTCTTTAGGAGACCAAATAGTGGTTCACAAGTCAACGTTTGTAATAAACCGTCTTATGGATTGCACTTTACCTAGAAGGCCTCACACCTCTTTTTCAGTCCTTGGTGGTGGCATTTCCAAGATGGACTTGATTTTGGAAGGATCAACCTCAATGCCCCTCTGTGTAATCAAGAACCCTAGCATCTTCCTTGCTGTGACACCAAAAGTGCACTTCTATGGATCTAGTCGCAACCGATATTCTCTGATCCGTTGGAAAAATTTCTTCAAGGCGGTGTAGAGGCCCTCTCTTTCCTTGGACTTGACAATCATGTCGTCCACGTACACCTCAACCTCTTTGTGGATCATATCATGCAAGATTGTGGTTGCAGCCTATTGATAAGTAGCCCCAGCATTTTTCAGACCGAATGGCATCACCTTGTAGAAGTAGGTTCCCCAGGGCGTGGTGAAGCCAGTCTTTTCCCTATCCTTGGGTGCCATCAAGATCTGGTTGTACGCGGAAAACCCATCCATAAAGGATAGCAACGCATGGCCTGTGGTGAAGTCCACCAATTCGTCGATGTGCGGTAGAGGAAAGTTGTCCTTCGGACTAGCTTTGTTCAAATCTCTGATATCCACACACACCCTAATCCTGCCATCTTTCTTCGGTACTGGAATGATGTTGGCCAACCAAGTAGGATACTCAGATACTAGCAAGAACCCTGTATTTATCTGGTTGGTGACCTCTTCCTTGAATTTCAGAGCCCAATCCGGGCGTATTCTCCGAAGCTTCTGCTTGACGGGTCGGGTCTCAGGGTCAAGAGGGATCTGGTGCTGTACAATCTCAGGATCAATTCCAGGCATGTCTTCGTAGGACCATGCGAAAACATCTTTGAAATTTTTTAATAAAGCGACTAAGCGCTTGCATTCCTCCGAAGACAACGTGGACCTGATCTGGACCAGATGCAAATCTTTCTTAGTGCCCACGTTAATTGAAATGATTTCATCAATCAGGGGTTTTCCAAACCTCTCATCCTCTCGATCAATCAAATATTTTAAAACTAGAGGAATTCCTTCCTCATCGTTTTTATCAAAATTTTGAAAGTTATGATCAATGCAATACATAAGTGGCACAGAGAAGTACTCGGAAATAGCAGTGGTACCATTCTTATTCACAACTTCCAGCTCGTCCAATTCCTCGGTTACAATTGACTCAAAAGAAAAGGAAAAAGGCGACCTGGACAAAACAACGACATACGGGTTATCAACCCTAGGAATACCGGACTCCGACGTAGAAGAACTGGAATCTGATTCTGACTCCACAGACTCTGTGGAATCAGATTCTGGTTCACTACCTGATTCAGAACTGCTGGACAAAAAGTCCTCATCAAACTGCCAAATGAGGGAGGGTGCGATAGATGCGTCCAAAATACCACCGGAAGGGTCCACAGCCAAATGATCTCCAATCATGGAAACGGTGAATTCATCACCCAAGCTCTCTAGTTTGATCTGAGGATTCGAGAGGAGACAAGCCAACGTTGCTCCCAGCTCAAGTTCACTACCATTGGACTCATCTTCTGTACTCTTTTCAGCCTCAGCTAGTAGATTAGTTTGTTCTTCTATAACTTCATCCCCTTGCAACTGTAGGTCGAAGAAGATCTCAAAGCCGGGCAAACGCCGCTTCTCAAAGTTCAGCCATGGCTCAGGAAAGCCGCAAAATGGGAAATCTTCCCCCTCCCGGACAAAGCGGTCGTTCAGGGTTCCTTGAGTAGGTCTATGTACCAGCTCATAGTGCTTCTTGTTTTGCTTAGCTTTGGCTCTTCCTGCCATTTTCTTCCCTTTTCTTACCCAGTCCTCTTTGGTAGGCGTGTAACTTAGACCAAAGGTATAAGGGTTATGTGGCACTTCAGCCAATGCAGCAATACCTTTCCAGCAGCTCCTTCTCAATCCCATTTCGGGTATATGTTGCAGTTTATTCATGAGGTAGACAGATTGAGCACTGATGTATAACTTCTCATCAATAGCCAGGATATCTTGTACTACCCAGGCCTCAGCCAAGGTGAACCCAGACAAAAAGACATCCTCATCGCCATGTACAATTTCCAATACCGGTGTAGTGACTTCTGGCGGAGGATGTATAGAAGAATTCCCAAAAACAATAGCTACCCCCTTTCCATGGGGGTACTTCAACATCTGATGCAAAGTGGAAGAGACAGCTTTCACTTAGGCCTCGTTTGGCAAGAGGCTATTTTAGCCAATTAGCCAAAAAGTTACTAAATTAGCCAAAAAGCCAACAACCCATACCAAAAAGTCAAAGATTCTCTTTTCTCTCTACTTTTTGCACGTCTTTTCGTAATTAGCCAAAAAGTCATCCCAAACATACAAGTTTTTTTTACCTACCTTTTTAGCCAAATAGCCAAAAAGTTACTAAATTAGCCTGTTCCCAAACGAGGCCTTAGTGCAACCACGGCTGTCCAAGGAGTAAGTTAAAAGTGGCTGGAACATCCAAGACAAGGAACTTAATGTCCTGTTGCGCCGAGCCAACCTGGGTTTTGATCCAAACTGTCTCCATCACTTCCCAACTTGTATTGTCATAAGCCCGAATCACCTGGGCCGTTGGTACAAAATTTGCTGGCTTCAAGCCAATAGCATAGGCCATACGCAACGAACACACATTAATTGCAGACCCGGTATCAACCAAGACGACTGGTATCCACTTCTCTTTATATTCAACAGAGATGTATAATGGCTTGTTGCGCTCAGAGCCCTCAGGCGACAATTCCTTATCTGTAAAGGTTAAAGTCGGCGAAGCCCCTCCTGGGAAAACCAGTCCCACTAACTGCTCGGGGGTTGTGTTGATAGAGAGCTTAGCCTTATCCATTGCTGATAGGATGGCTTGTCTGTGCACCTGTAAAGCCATGAGCAATCACTAAATGGATATGTCTGCTTGAATCTTTTTTAGCTGCTTCAGTACAGCTTCTTCTTCTAGCAGTTTCTCCTTCTGTTTTTTTGTCTCCTTATCTTTCCCAGATGCTTCGGGTTGGTCCAGGTATGGGGGTTTAAAATACCGCCCGCACCAAGTCATGTGATCCACTTCTTTGGAATACCAAGTATCATCTGGCAGATTCTGTCCCCAATCTTCATCTGTGTGGGCAAGATGTAAATCATCATCTTTCCACCACATTCCTCCGGCAATCGACAAGCAACTGTTTGGTTTCGTTGTAAGTATCCTCGCATCCACAACACAGTCAATCCCTGCAGGTCCTTTGGCTTTTCTAGCACTACTACAAATACACATAAAGATCACACTTTTTTTGTGTGATGTATGCTTTTTAATCACACCTTTTAAGTTTTATTAAAGTGTGGTCTTTAGGAGTGTGATTAAAAGGGATCATTTTTAATCACACTTTTTAAGTGTCATTAAAAAATGCTTTCATCACACTTTTTAAGTGTGATTAAAAATATTTAGATCACACCTTTTAAATGTAATTAAAAACATTTAGATCACACCTTTTAAGTGTGATTAATAACTAATAAAACCTGTGATAAAAAAAAAGAATTCGACATATTTGAAGAATAATCTATATTATTTTTGTACGCGCATTTGAAGAATATAATACACACTATATACTATATTTTGAATCACAACCATATATTGAATGGAATAACGCCATATATTTCATAAATGAAAGTTAAATGTTCAAAAGTATATACAAAGAAATTAATAAAAAGTTTTTAACTGTGATTACATATATTAAAAAATTAAAAAAAAACTTGAAAAAACTAAGTTCTTGAATTCTTTGACCATATTTTGCATCTCTCCAAGAAATTTCTGACCTGAAAAATAAAAAAAACAAATTAATTCAGAAACCGCTAGTAGCATATGAAAAAACTTACTATTTTTGTAGAGATTGTTCTTGTCTTATAGAAGACAAAATCGAACATTTTCTCATCACACTGACTCTTCATCCCCTGTATCAATAGAAATAAATAACGAATTTGATTATTACTAGTATAAAATGTTTGTATTACCATATAAAAATTTTCTTAATTTTATTTTTTTAGGGTAAATATTTTATATTTTAAATATTTATTTATTATTTTAATATGCACTATATTTCATACATTTGTGTGCTGTATTTTTTTAAAAATATTTTTAAAATATTAAAAATTTTACAAAAATTATTTTTTATTTAACTATATAATTTTTTATAAATATTTTATTTTATTTTATAAATATATTTTTAAATATTTTAATTTTTTTTGTTATGTGTTTGGTTACAATTTGAGTGTGGAGTTTTGAAAATAGTGTGGAGTTTCGAGTTATGTGTTTGGTCTCATAACAAAACAAATATTCTCTTTTAAAAACTCAACTCACAATTTCACAGTTAAATCATAACTTCACATTCAAATCATAATTCCAAAACTAAACCAAACAGAGCGTTTTTAAAGGGATTTTAATGCTCATGTAGGTTTCCAATAAGAGGTTGAGAAGGATCCTCGGGAATAAAATTTTCATGTATATAATTCTACTAACTATGAATTATCAGTGAATAGGAACAACAAGCTGGTAATTACAGTAGATGTCCCAATACCAAAAAAATAGCAAATTGAAGACTTAAATTTTAAGAGCAACAGTTTGCTAGTTCGCACTAGTTTGAAGCTATATGCATGAAGTCGAACAACATGTGAGAAAAGAACTTTATCATTCCCAAGAAAACTTTTTTTTAAAAAAAAGGGAGTCCAAAATGTAATGTACATACAGATTTCGTGACAGAGCAAAATGGGCAAAGATGCAGCACGCCTTGCAGCCTCCTGTGATCCTTCTATCTTGTTCCTCAACGTCGTGCATAAACTTGCGGTTAACTAATAAGCATGGTAATATTTTGAAGAGCACTATGAGGTGCACACATTACATCTTTACTTGCGAAAAGATTTATGAATCTAATGGAAAAATGGTGTTTTATATAGCTTATTTTGGACCAACTTTGAGTGGGCCCCAAACGTCTTTTGAGGTGGGTCCGAAGAGGTGACGTGTTCCTTGCCGCGTGGCAAGTCACACGGTGAAAACGGGACGTCAAAACCATTTATGAGTGAATGGGAAGTTAACGTCGTTTTAGGGTTTAACATTAATTTTTTAGACAAAATTCTTTTGAATTTTTTTAATAAAAAAATTATTGTGGGAATTTAATTTAAATTTAAATCTAAATTCAAAATTTTGGTATCATTAATGTTTTCCTAAAGTTTATAATTTAAATTTAAATTTAAATTCAAATTTTGATTCCCTAAAAATTATACCTTTTCCTTTATTAATAAACTATTCAAATAGTTTAATAATAATTTTCTAACAGTTTGGAATAAAATAACTGTTCCACTTTGGGCTTCTTAGTGTAAACTATTTGAATAGTTTGATAAAAGGTCATATACCAGCAGTTTTAATCTTTGTCCAACGGATATTTTTTCCATTTGTTTAAATTAAAGTGTTGGTTGTGCAACGGTCCGAAATTGTTTGGATACTAAACAGGTTGCACCTGTTCGGACAGTTTTATAGACATCTTTTGTGCCTATATATAGATCCATTTTCCTGCAGTCCAAGTGATCGAAAATTCAGTCTTATATTCTATCTTTTGCTGTCCTAAATTCTGCACCTTTGCATTTTATTCTTCATTTTAGTTTTAGAATAAATATTCAGAGAGTTAGATCACAGGTTTGGTTAGTCAAACAATTTGTTTTGGAGTGCTACTACAAATTGGTTAAGATCATTGTATCCTGGGAGATAGACGCCACTCAACCGTAAGCACCGTAGCGGGGCGAATCTGTCTTAAGGATAGAGTGTCACACACTCGACTTGGTCTTTGAATTATTTATTCGGTTCTACAAAATAAATACTGTAAGTTTTATTTTATTTTGTTTGAATTATTTCAAGTTATTTATTTACACAGAAGATTGTTCCAACAATCTTAAGACATATTCGAATTATTCTGTTTACAGAATTTTTCGTTTGTTTCTCTTTTTCATTCTTCGTAAATAAATTTGAAAAAATTATTTTTTATGGATTTACAAAATAATATTCTGGTTGGAAAAACAAATAGTGATTATATGTTATTTGACAGATAGTAGTAATATACTGTCTATTTTCTTTGACAACTAGTAGTACGATACTGGTGTCATTAACAATTCAGAATATATTTTTGTGAAATTTTGTCAGAAAATTAATTTTGATTTTTAGAAATTATTTTCTGAGTTTTTATTAATTAAAATTCTATTTTAGTATTTTAATTTTTTGAAGTGTTACAGAAATTAATTTTCTGTGTGGAATTAATTTGGTTAAATAAAATTTTTATTTTATTTTATTTCCAAATTAATTGAAAAATAAAAGTTATATTTTTATTTCTTTTATTTTATAAAATTTAGTTTTCTGTGTGGAATTAATTTGGTTGAATAAAATTTTATTTCCAAATTAATTGGAAAATAAAAGTTACATTCTTGTTTCTTTTATTTTTACAAAATTTAATTCTGTGAATTTGGATTAGTTTTCGGTGTGTAATTAATTTGGTTAAATAAATTTTATTTTATTTTATTTCCAAATTAATTGAAAATAAAAGTTACATTTGGTTTTGTTCCTTTTATTTTAACAGAATTTATTTCTGTAGTTTTGGTTTAATTTGTTTAAATAAAATTTTATTTTATTTTCAAATTAATTGGAAATAAAAGTTACAATTCTTGTTTCTTTTATTTTACAGAATTTTAAATTCTGTGTTTTTTGGTTTAAATTTTCTGTGTAGTATATAATTCTAATTCTAATTTTATTTTATAATTTAGAATTTATGGCTACTAAAACTGGTCAAACTAATATTCAAACCAGTACTGGTATAGTGATTGCCATTACGCCAACCTCTCCTTATGTTGGGACTGTGCCAGTGAATCATGGTGGAAAACCAGATAAGTTCTTAGGAACTGTTTTTAAAAGATGGCAGAAGAGAATGTTATCTAAAGGAGGGGAAACTAAGAAATACAAGTTTAATGGCATGTGTTACATTTGTAACAAAAAGGGACATCGGGCCAAAGATCGCTGTTACAAACGTAAAGGCAAAAGAAGATCAAGTAAGAAGGTTGCTAAAGCCAAAATGACCGAAATGGATGAAATTTCCAATGGTGTAGATGTCATAAATCTTTCTGCAATTGTTTTCGAGGCAAATCTTGTCGAAAATCCTAAAGAATGGTTGGTGGATACTGGTGCTACTCACCATATCTGTGCCGACAAAAAGATGTTCACATCTTATTCTACAGTGGACAACGATGAACAACTTTTTATGAGCAACTCCTCAACTTCCAAAGTTGAAGGACAAGGAAAGATTGTACTTAAGATGACATCTGGAAAGGAACTCACTCTCAACAATGTGCTGCATGTACCGGACATTCGCAAGAATTTAGTTTCCGGATCTTTGTTGAGTAAGAATGGGTTTAGGCTAGTTTTTGAAAGTGACAAGTTTGTACTTACCAAAAGCGGGATGTATGTAGGAAAATGTTATATGTCTGATGGCCTTTTCAAGTTAAATGTAATGACCGTTGTACCCTCATTTATTAATAATAATACATCTTTTTCTTACTTGCTTGAGTCTTCAAATTTATGGCATAGTAGATTAGGACATGTTAATTATGGATCTTTGTGTAGATTAATTAATATGGAATGTTTACTTAAATTTAACATTGATTCAAATCATAAATGTGAAATTTGCGTTGAGGCAAAATTATCTAAAACTCCTTTTCATTCAATTGAAAGAAGTACGGAACTACTTGAATTATTCATAGTGACATTTGTGATTTTAAATCAATTCAAACCAGAGGTGGGAAAAAATATTTTATCACTTTTATAGATGACTATACTAGATATAGTTATGTTTATTTAATTCGAACCAAGGATGAACCTTTGGAAACTTTCATTCAATATAAGAATGAAGTTGAAAATCAACTTGGTAAGAAAATCAAGAAACTTAGAAGTGATAGAGGTGGTGAATATGAATCACCTTTTGGTGAGTTTTGTAAAGAACATGGAATAATTCATCAAACCACCGCTCCTTATTCACCTTAGCAAAATGAAATTGCTGAAAGGAAAAATAGGACTTTAAAAGAAATGATGAATGCCATGTTAATCAATTCTGGATTACCTCAAAACTTGTGGGGGGAAGCAATACTTTTTGCTAATTATATACTTAATAAAGTACCCCGAAAGAAAGTGAATCAAACACCTTATGAATGGTGGCATGGTAGAGTACTATCCTACAAATACTTAAAAAGTGTGGGGGTGTTTGGCTAAAGTGGCTGTACCTAGTCCTAAAAAGACTAAGATAGGTCCTAAGACCATTGATTGCATTTTCATTGGTTATGCCAAAAATAGTAGTAGATATCGTTTTTTGATTCATAAATCAGAACATTCTGAAATGCATGTAAATTCTATTATTGAGTCTCGGAATACATCATTCTTTGAACATGTATTTCCAAATAAGATTGGACAAGAAACTAGTAACAATAAAAGATCTCATGATGCTATTACTAGTTAAGATCAAGAATATGATCAAGAACAAGAGTTAGATCAAAATGAGGAAGAGGAACCTAGGTGTAGTAAACGTACTAGAACCTTAAAATCTTTTGGTCCAGATTTTCTAACATTTTTGTTAGAAAATGAACCTTTAACTTTTAAAGAGGCTATGTCCAGTCCTGAATCTCCTTTATGGAAAGAAGCTGTCAACAGTGAAGTTAAATCCATCTTGCAAAATCACACTTGAGAATTGGTGGATTTGCCACCAGGTTGTAAACCTCTTGGGTACAAGTGGATTTTCAAAAGAAAATTGAAAGCGGATGGATCAATTGACAAATACAAGACAAGACTTGTGGTCAAAGGTTTTAGACAAAAAGAAGGTCATGATTACTTTGACACATACTCACCGGTTACTAGAATAACATCCATTAGAATGCTAATTGCCATTGCATCTCTTTACAATCTAGAAATTCATCAAATGGATGTTAAAACCGCTTTCTTAAATGGTGAGTTAAATGAAGAAATTTACATGGAACAACCAGAAGGTTTTTTTGTTCCAGGAAAAGAAAAGAAAGTGTGTAAATTGGTTAAATCATTATATGGTTTAAAACAAGTGCCAAAGCAATGACATGAGAAATTTGACAAGGCAATGATGTCAAATGGATTTAAAATTAATGAATGTGACAAATGTGTTTATATTAAAAACACAGACAAAGGTTATGTCATTGTGTGTCTTTATGTGGATGGTATGCTCATCATAGATAGTAATAATGACATGATTAAAACTACCAAGAAAATGTTGAATAAACATTTTGACATGAAGGACATGGGCATTGCTGATGTAATTCTTGGTATGAAAATTACCAAAACATCAAAAGGTTATGCTTTGTCACAATCTCATTACATTGAGAAAATACTTGACAAATTCAGCAAAGATGATGATCATCTTGCTAGAACACCTGTAGATGTTAATTTGTATCTTTCTAAGAATGTACAGGAAAGTATTTCTCAATCAGAGTATGCCCAAATTATTGGAAGCTTAATGTACTTGATGAACTGCACTCGCCCAGATATAGCTTATGCAGTAAGTAAATTAAAGTAGATATACGAGCAATCCAGAAGTAGAACACTAGAAAACAATTATAAGGGTTCTAAGATATCTCCGATTTACTCGTAACATTGGGCTTAATTATACTAGATATCCAGTAGTACTTGAAGAATACTGTGATGCTAATTGGATATCAGATACTAGAGACTCGAAGTCCACCAGTGGGTATGTCTTTACTCTTGGCGGGGCGGCTGTATCTTGGAAATCTTCCAAACAAACTTGCATTGCTAAGTCTACTATGGAATCTGAATTCATAGCTTTAGACAAAGCTGGGGAAGAGGCAGAATGGCTTCGCCACTTCCTTGAAGATATTCCAATATGGCCAAAACCAGTGCCTGCTATATGCATACATTGCGATAGTCAATCAGCAATTGGTAGAGCACAGAGTCATATGTATAACGGTAAGTCACGACACATTCATCGTCGACATAACACCGTGAGACAACTACTCTCTAATGAAATTATTTCCATAGAATATGTTAAGTCTAAAGACAACATAGCGGATCCACTGACCAAAGGGTTAGCAAGAGAGTTAGTTGAGAATTCATCGAGGGGAATGGGACTAAAGCCTATTAAATAAGAGTTACCACAACGGCAACCCAACTAAGTTGATTGGAGATCCCAAGATCTAGGTTCAAAGGGACAACCGAGTTGTGAATGACTCAGAAGGATCACTGGGGAGTTAAACTCCTACCCATTTCTATGATAAAATAGTGATGTCTGCAGCGTTTGAGGTTAAGTAAAATTTTAATGATTCTTATATCTAGGTAAACCTAGTGGGGTATTGCAGGATATTCTTCATAAGAATCACCTATGTAAGTGTGAACTGGGCTGGTTCTATGAGATTTGTGAAGGGCTACAATTCTCTAGAGCACTCATGAAATACCAGGTTGTTCAGAGCCAAAATGAACACAATAGTGAGAACTAAACTGTGTCTGGGATATACTGTGTGAGTTCTATTGTCTTGGTTTACACAAACGGCTGAATAGTTCAAGACATCATGTTCACTGTTTAGCTAGTAAATCCGATAGTGTCTCACAAGGGAAGGTTCAAAGCCAAAAGATACCTATCCTTTGCAGAATATTTCCAATTTCTGTACTCTCTGTAATAGATCATGTTGTTGTATTTTCTCTCCGTCAAATTCCATTCACGTGGGGGATTGTTGGAAAAATGGTGTTTTATATGGCTTATTTTGGACCAACTTTGAGGCCAAATTTGAGTGGGCCCCAAACGTCTTTTGAGGTGGGTCCGAAGAGGTGACGTGTTCCTTACCGCGTGGCAAGTCACACGGTGAAAACGGGACGTCAAAACCATTTATGAGTGAATGGGAAGTTAACGTCGTTTTAGGGTTTAACATTAATTTTTTAGACAAAATTCTTTTGAATTTTTTTAATAAAAAAATTATTGTGGGAATTTAATTTAAATTTAAATCTAAATTCAAAATTTTGGTATCATTAATGTTTTCCTAAAGTTTATAATTTAAATTTAAATTTAAATTCAAATTTTGATTCCCTAAAAATTATACCTTTTCCTTTATTAATAAACTATTCAAATAGTTTAATAATAATTTTCTAACAGTTTGGAATAAAATAACTGTTCCACTTTGGGCTTCTTAGTGTAAACTATTTGAATAGTTTGATAAAAGGTCATATACCAGCAGTTTTAATCTTTGTCCAACGGATATTTTTTCCATTTGTTTAAATTAAAGTGTTGGTTGTGCAACAGTCTGAAATTGTTTGGATACTAAACAGGTTGCACTTGTTCGGACAGTTTTATAGACAACTTTTGTGCCTATATATAGATCCATTTTCGTGCAATCCAAGTGATCGAAAATTCAGTCTGATATTCTATCGTTTGCTATCCTAAATTCTGTACCTTTGCATTTTATTCTTCATTCTAGTTTTAGAATAAATATTCAGAGAGTTAGATCACAGGTTTGGTTAGCCGAACAATTTGTTTTGGAGTGCTACTACAAATTGGTTAAGATCATTGTATCCTGGGAGATAGACGCCACTCAACCGTAAGCACCGTAGCGGGGCGAATCTGTCTTAAGGACAGAGTGTCACACACTCGACTTGGTCTTTGAATTATTTATTCGGTTCTACAAAATAAATACTGTAAGTTTTATTTTATTTTGTTTGAATTATTTCAAGTTATTTATTTACACAGAAGATTGTTCCAACAGAATCAACAATGAGTGAGTCCTACCTGAGATGACACTATACAAAACTTATTAGCTATTTTGGTCACCTTGGAACTTAATATAATATTAGTTTGAAAACAATTCCAAATATGGCCAGAGGGAGCTATCAAATGAGATATTTCAGAATCATCTCATACGAATCTTATTTTATTTGGTAAATTGGTTATTTTCAACATGGGACAACAATACATATAACAGAGGAACAAAGAGGAAATGAGAAGGAAGATATTGCATTCATACCTTGAATCAGGAAGCCAACCACTTAGACCAACAATAGCCCTCAAGTTAACAGGGTAATCGATCCCATTTCCATATTTTCCCTGGGCAAAACAAGTTGCAGAGTAAAGGGCAGTTGCAACACCCATACTAAAACCCCCGATACCAAGTTTAACTGTAAATGAGTTAATACCAAAATAAATAAATAAATGAAAAAGTATAGAATTCCTAAACAACACGGTGGTAATTTATTCATGATAGTTGATGAAACCTTTTATCACGATAGATAAATGAACTACTAACTAAACACATGGAAATTAAGTAATTTAGTGGCCTATAATCAATGAAGTAACAAGGCAGAAACTTACTATCAGCAGGCTCTGTTGACAACAAGTTTGCAATATGCGCTACTGAAGCTTCTAAACCTTCGAAATCATCAGGACTATCTTCTGAAAGTTCTCTAACATCAAACCCTAATACGAAACCACAAAAGCACTTTAGATAATTGTATCAGTATCTCAGCATTGGAAGAAATCTAAGCTTTAATCTTACATGCAGTGCGAGGGAATCCACCAAGTATAGCCACTGGGCAAGTAGGAGCAGTTGGGCATATCCACTTGATCTACATCATAGAATTTCAGCATAAAAAAATGATAAGTACCAACTAAGTTTTGCAAAAATCAAAGAACCATATACACATGCATGGTCACGAGGCTAAGCATAAAGTTCAAAAATATTTCAAGGGATACGTGTCCTTACATTTGGAAGAGCAAGTTTTTCCAAGAGTTGGGCCCAGCTGCAATAACAAACACAGCACAGAATAAACATTCTAATTATGTGATTCCTCAACTGATTATAGCCTAAAGCATCAGATTTAGACAAATATATTGTAGCAAACTTAGAAGTTTAGATTAGCATAAAAATAGTAACTCGCACGAATCCTGTTGAAAGGTAACGATATTGAAAACTCTCAAATTGAATAATATGATACTATAATACGGAATACAGAGGCACAAAGACTTGTACAACAGGATATGAGAAAGAAGGGAATAAAGAGGCACAAAGGCTTGCATAGCTAAAAATCTCTTGTGGAAGCTTCGAATGTGGATGCATAAAGTTCAAAAATATTTCAAGGGATATGTGTCCTTACATTTGGAAGAGCAAGTTTTTCCAAGAGTTGGGACCAGCTGCAATAACAAACACAGCACAGAATAAACATTCTAATTATGTGATTCCTCAACTGATTATAGCCTAAAGCATCAGATTTAGACAAATATATTGTAGCAAACTTAGAAGTTTAGATTAGCATAAAAATAGTAACTCGCACGAATCCTGTTGAAAGGTAACTATATTGAAAACTCTCAAATTGAATAATATGATACTATAATACGGAAAACAGAGGCACAAAGACTTGTACAGCAGGATATGAGAAAGAAGGGAATAAAGAGGCACAAAGACTTGCATAGCTAAAAATCTCTTGTGGAAGCTTCGAATGTGGATGTTTAAAATGTCAGGATATCTAGTATAAAAATGCAAAAGTTTTCCTCATCTCCTCTATTCCTTTGTCTAATGCTGTGATAATCTTCATTTTTGTATTTTTCAGACTATGCCTGAAACAAGCTTTCAAAGAGCTTCATTTTCAACAAAACTCTTCTATCTATAAAAATACATGCCCAATTTTCTATTCTTTGCAAGAAAACTCTTCTATCTATAACAATACATGCCCAATTTCAACTTTCAGTCCAATAGATCCCAATGAAACTACCAGATAATGTGTGGCACTTGAAAACAACCTCATTAATGAGAAGCTTCTAAAAGCACACTAGAATGATGCCCACCGATGCGTTCTAGTGCTTTGTTTTAAGTAAACACACACAGCTTAAGACTGTCCAGAATCACTTCAATGATGGTTTTGGTATTCTTCTTGCAGAAGCCTTGAAAGCCTTTTGATTTTAACCCTAGGGTTTCAGCCATTAGCATCCATTTTGTACAACAATAGGGTCTATGTAATTAGCTGTTGGAAGACTAGAACTACCAATAACTACCAATTAATATTAGTTCATCTATTGTGATACACTTTGAGATCTTTCTGAAAAATTAATAAAATCACAAAAGAACAAAAATAAATAAATAAATAAAATAAAATTATAATACAAAATTAACTTGAATAATGAAGGGGACAAATGTAAAAATTGGTGATTGGTTTGGAGTATGAACACGTGGTGCTCCGGGAGTATTGAATAATTTCTCCCCAAACTTAGCTTCTCAAATTTTACTTAAGTATATATATATATATACATAGTGAACCAACTTATCCTCACCCAAACTGAGCCTTTTCGATTTTACTTTTCTATTTCATTTTCAATAGTGAACCAATTCAAGTAAAAAGTTCAATCAGTTCCACGACCACAATTGTATGGCAACGAATAGTTATCAAGCAACTTATACAACAATAAAACCGAAAAAAAAGGTAAATTACACTGACACCTCCTGAAATTTATATTTATTATAGTTTTTTTCCTAACATTTGGGAAATTATATTGACTCCCTTGTCAGTGTAATTATTTGATGGCATTAACTTTTAAGTTAAAATGACATATTTACCCTTAACCTTTACATATACTTTAAAGGGTAAATTACATTGACATCCTCTGAGGTTACGAATCTCCCCTGACATTTAAAAAAAAAACAAACTAATTTAATAAAAATAAATGTGAAGAAATATATTTAATTTGTAAAAAATTATTTCTAACCACTCAAAAGATAAAAATTATATTAAAATGATAATTATTTTTTATTTTTTATTTCTTAACCAAATTATTTTTTAATTTTTAAAAAAAAATTCTAAAAATCAAACTATACATAGCCTAAGAATCTTTTGATAAGCCATTTCTAACGTTGGTAACTTATTTTATTATTTATTAATTTTATGACATTTTTACCATCAAGCCTATTTGGTAGCTATTTCGTTTTCAATTTATATTTACAAAAAATTTTAAAATTGTAATAAAAACTTGTTTGATAATTTTTTTAGTTTATAAATGGTTTTCTCAGTATGTAAATTTGAGGAAAAAACGTAAATTCAAAAAATGAGCTTACGTTGGTTTTTAAATAGAAATTTTAAACCTTTACTAACAAATATTTTTTCAATTAATCTTTTTTTTCAAATAATTTTTTTTCCAATTAATTTTTTTTTCAATGAATTTTTTTTCCAACTAATACTAACCAAGGGGGCAATTGGTAATGCTACTTTAAACCTTAGAGAGGGGATTGTAATTTCTAAAATGTGAGGGGTGTCAATGTAATTTACCCAATGAGGGCAAAATTGGTATTAAAAAAAATTAAATTACTGAAGGGGGATTCTGTAGTGAAACTTTAAACCTCAGGAGGGAGATGGAATTTCCAAAAGGTGAGGGGGGAACTGTAATAAACATAAACCTCAGGGGGGTGTCAGTGTGATTTACCCAAAAAAAATTAATTGGAAAAAAAATTATTTGAAAAAAAATTTTGCTAGTAAAATTTTTAAATTTCTGTTTAAAACCAACGTAAACTTATTTTTTGAATTTACATTTTTTTTTCTCAAATTTACAAACTGAGACAATCATTTATAAACCAAAAAAATTATCAATCAAGTTTTTATGACGATTTTTTTAAATTTTTGTAAATATAAATTGAAAACTGAAAATGAAATGGTTAGCAAACAAGCTTTAGATGGTAAAAATGTTGTAAAATTAACAAATAATTAAATAAGTTACCAACGTAAGAAATAACTTATCAAAAAATTCTTAGGCCATACATGGTTTGATTTTTAGAATTTTTTTTAAATTAAAAATTAATTTGGTTAAGAAATAAATAATAAAAAATAATTTTCATTTAAGGGTAAAAAATAATTATCATTTTTACTTTTGGGCAGGTTATAAACATATGTATGACTGTTTCAATTTAATCTGTAAAAAATTATTTCTAACCACTCGAAAGATAAAAATTATATAAAAGTGAAAATTATTTTTTATTTTTTATTTGTTAACCAAATTAATTTTTAATTTTTTTTTCTAAAAATTAAACCATTCATAGCCCAAGAAACTTTTGATAAGTCATTTCTTATGTTAGTAACTTATTTAATTATTTGTTAATTTTACGACATTTTTACCATCGTTTTCAGTTTTCAATTTATATTTACAAAAATTTAAAATACTGTCATAAAAACTTGTTCGATAATTTTTTTGATTTATAAATGGTTGTCTTAGTTTGTAAATTTGAGAAAAAAAAGTAAATTCAAAAAATGAGTTTATGTTGGTTTTTAAATAGAAATTTAAAAATTTTACAATCAAAATTTTTTTTCAATTAATTTTTTTTCAATGAAATTTTTTCCAACTAATACTAACCAAGGGGGCAATTGGTAATGCTACTTTAAACCTTAGGGAGGGGATTGTAATTTCTAAAATGTGAAGGGTGTCAATGTAATTTACCCAGTGAGGGAAAAATTAGAATTTAAAAAAATTAAATTGCTAAAAGGGGAAATCTATAATGAAACTTTAAACCTTAGGGGGAGATGTAATTTCCAAAAGGTGAGGGAGGAACTGTAATAAACATAAACCTCAGGGGGGTGTTAGTGTAATTTACCCAAAAAAAATTAATTGGAAAAAAATGAATTGAAAAAAAATTTTGCTAGTAAAATTTTTAAATTTATGTTTAAAAACCAAAGTAAACTTATTTTTTGAATTTACATTTTTTCCTCAAATTTATAAACTGAGACAACCATTTATAAACCAAAAAAATTATCAAACAAGTTTTTATGACAGTTTTTAAAATTTTTGTAAATATAAATTGAAAACTGAAAATGAAATGGTTAGCAAACAAGTTTTAGATGGTAAAAATGTTGTAAAATTAACAAATAATTAAATAAGTTACCAACGTAAGAAATGACTTATCAAAAGATTCTTAGGCCATATATGGTTTGATTTTTAGAATTTTTTTTAAAAAATTAAAAATTAATTTGGTTAAGAAATAAAAAATAAAAAATAATTATCATCTAAGGGTAAAAAATAATTATCATTTTAACTTTTAGGCAGGTTATATACATACGTATGGCTGTTTCAATTTAACTTGTAAAAAATTATTTCTAACCACTCGAAAGATAAAAATTATATAAAAGTGATAATTATTTTTTATTTTTTATTTCTTAACCAAATTAATTTTTAATTTTTAAATTTTTTTTCTAAAATCAAACCATACATAGCCTAAGAATCTTTTGATAAGTCATTTCTTATGTTGGTAACTTATTTAATTATTTGTTAATTTTACGATATTTTTACCATCTGAAACCTGTTTGGTAACTATTTCGTTTTCAGTTTTCAATTTATATTTACAAAAATTTTAAAAATTGTCATAAAACTTAGGATAAATTACCCATAAATCCTATCCGGATAAAAGTTAAACCATTTAGTCCTTTAAGTTTTCTTGTATACCATTTAGTCCTAATTTATTACCTGATTTTTGGGGTGTGATTTGATTACATTTGTTTTTACATCAATACCCTTTTCATGATTGTTTAACATTATTTCATTGATTAACATTATTTCATTATTATTGATTAACATTATTTCATTGTTCTCTCCTCCTCCTTCATGTTCTCTCATCCTCCTTTATGTTCTCTCTACGCTGGCGATGCAATCTCCATTTTCAAACTTAGATTCCGACAGCCGAAACCCCAAAGAGTTCGCCGGAATCTGACATCAACGCCGGTTGCATCCATGTTTTCTGAAAACTCGATCGAGATCATCGGAGATCCGACAGATCTGAGATAGATGCGGTGCTGATCTGATATACATAGAGGCACCGAAGAAGACGTTGGAGAAGACCCATCCGCCATTGCAAAAATGATCCTCACCCATCCGCTATGTTGATGATGTCTACCACTGATGTTGATGATGGATCGGTGTGGATCGGCGTTGATGTTGACGATGTTGAGCGTAGCGTTGATATCGCTGATGTTGATGATGGAACCAATGTTGATGATGTTGATCATGGCCCTGATGTTGATGATTTCTGATGTCGCTGATGTTGTTCATGGCGTTGATTCGCTGATGTTGATCATGGAAATAATGTTGATGATGTTAATCATGGCCGGATGTTGATGATGGAACTAACATCGGCGTATTGTGCACATTTCCATCCACGTCTCTTCGTTTCTGATATGTTGGATGGAGAACAAACATCAACAAATTAAGGACTTTGGGCATTTCAGTAAAATCCACATTGGAGTATTCTTCAAATACCCTTAATAGAAGGTGCTAAACAGATTCAAAAACGGATAATGTTGTCATTAACACTAGATTGGGACTAATTGGATTATAAGATAAAAAGTAGGACCAAATGGGTCAGAAGATAAGGATTTGGGATTTATTGGTGCATGCCCCTAAAACTTATTTGATAATTTTTTTGGTTTATAAATAGTTGTCTCAGTTTGTAAATTTGAGGAAAAAACGTAAACTCAAAAAATGAGTTTATGTTGGTTTTTAGAAAGAAATTTAAAAATTTTACTAACAATTTTTTTTTCAATGAATTTTTTTTCCAACTAATACTAACTGAGGGGGTAATTGGTAATACTACTTTAAACCCTAGGGAGAGGATTGTAATTTCTAAAATGTAAGGGGTGTCAATGTAATTTACCTAGTAAGGGCAAAATTATTATTTAAAAAAATTAAATTGCTAAGGGGGGGATATGTAATGAAACTTTAAACCTCAGGGAGGGAGATATAATTTCCAAAACGTGAGGGGGGAACTGTAATAAACATAAATCTCAGGGGGTGTTAGTGTAATTTACCCTATATATATATGTATATATAATCACACTTTAATTAGAAGTGTGATTAAAAAAAATATATATAATCACACTTTTAATTAGAAAGTGACATAAAAAATAAATATTATCACACTCAATCAGATTAAGTGTGATTAAAAATTTGGGAATTGTATATTTTATATAAAAATCAATTTGAAATATTTTATACAATCACACCTATTTAGGAAGTGTGATTATATATATATATTATTTGAAAAGTATGATTAAAAAGTAGTAATGTATATATAATCACATTTTAATTACATTGTGTGATTAAAAAATATATAAATAATAACAAAAAATAGATAAATAATCACACTTATTTAAAAAGTGTGATTAAAAAGTAATAGTGTATATATAATCACACTTTAATTAGAATATGTAATTAAAATATACATATATATATATATATATATATAAAATAAATAATATATAAATAATCACACTTTAATTAGAATGTGTGATTAAAAAATATATATATAATCACACTCATTTAAAAAGTGTGATTAAAAAGTAGTAGTGCATATATAATCACACTTCAATTAGAAGGTGTGATTAAAAAATGTATAAATAATCACACTTTAATTAGAATGTGTGATTAATATATATATATAAATAATCACACTTATTTAAAAAGTGTGATTAAAAAGTAATAGTGTCTATGTAATCACAATTTAATTAGAAGGTATGATTAAAAAAATGTATATATAATCACACTTAATTAAAAAGTGACATAAAATATAAATATTATCACACTCAATCAAATTAAGTGTGATTAAAATATCAATCTAATTTATTTATTTTTTTATCATACTTCTAATAAAAGTGAGATATTTTTATTTATTTTTTTTTTTTTTAATCAAAGTGTGATCTTTAACTATTTTTGTAGTAGTGTAGCCTTCTGATCATTCTTAGTTCTTTCATGCTCGAACCGCTTCAGCACGGCCTCTTGTTCTGTATCGGTTATACTAACACTGCTTAACTCCTGAGCACAGTTCTTAGTACTGATGCTTTCCGGCAACTCTTCATTGTCGTCGACCGTTCCGACCATTGTAGAAATTCCCATTTCCAGTTGTTCCTGCTTTGGTTGAGACCCCTCATCAACATTCGGTTCATCGCTGAGCCACCCCGTATTATCCGTTGATCTGTTCATATCAAACCAGCCAATCTGTACATTCCTCAGATCTTGTTCATCGAAGAATTGCAGGTTACTGATGTCCTCCTCGAGCTCAGCTAAGTCATCTAGTCCCTAGTTTGGTCCGTCCTCCCGGACTACATTGACCTCCATTCCCGTCGGCAATTCCACCCATGGTCTGGTCTGACTGGCTGGCACAATGTAGCAACACAGGTTGTATTCCTCTTCAGTTAAGCTCACGGAGCCCTCAGGTATGCTTTCTTCTACCATAGCCACCACCACAAGTTCGGGTTGGGATATGGATGCGCTCATTATACACAAGTTTGTGCTTTCTGAGATGAACAGTGCCGGCTTAGGTAGGTGGGAGGGGGTGATGTATATACTGGGGTCGTATGGGACGACCAGTGTTTGGATAAGATTTATTTGCCTTGGTGGAGGGGTTTGGTTGTGTGGTGGGAGAGGATTTGTAGAGACATTAGGCTTTTGAGGAGGTGCTATCACTTTGTTGTCAATGAGATCTTGAATCTCATGACGAAGTCTAAAGCATAGGTCGGTATCATGACCATGCTGCTGGTGGAAGGTGCAGTACTTGGCCGGGTTGTGTGTAGGAGGGAGGGGATTAGGCAATGGTCGCGGCTCTAGGGGCTTCAGATGTCCCTTTTTGATCAGTACCCTCAAGGCCACAAATAGAGACATGTAGAGTGGGGTGAAAACCCTCTGGTCTCGGGGTTGGTGCTTTGCAGGTTGTGAGGTAGTTTCGGATGTACCGGCAAAGGGGGTGGCTATTTTTGGTGTGGTGGTGACCATACCAACATCAGAAGTCCTTGCAGCTGCTTTACTACTCGTAGCCACATTTGAACTGCATGTAAAAGCCCTCTTGGGTTGCTCTTTCTCATGGTCTATCAAACCCTGTTTCATCGCATCCTCTATCTGTACCACTATTTCATGGAGGTCAGCAAATGCAGGCAGAGGTAAGACTATCATTTTCTGTAACAGCCTCGGTTGCAGATTGAGGATGACCATTTTGATCTGGTCCTTTTCAGCTGGTTGGGTGGTCATCATGGAGGCCTTGGCCCTCCACCAAGTGACAAAATCGATGAAGCCCTCATTCGGCTCTTGACGAGTTGCTTCGAGATCATGAGTTGTGACCTCGATTTGAGTGTTATAGGAATATTGGGCAATAAAGGCCTTAGCCATCTCTTCCCAACTTTTCTTCACGGAATCTTCCAACTTAGCATACCAAATGGCTGCGATACCCGATAAGGTCCGGCCAAGGAGGGATAACTTTTGCAGTCCAGTTAGGCCCATCGGCCGCAGAATGTCTGAAAATAGTCGCAATTGGACCATAGGATCACCCGAGCCATCAAAGCAGTCTATATGTGGCATTCTAAACCTATCTGGCAAGGTCACCTTTGCATCGGTATAGCCATCATTTATATCTGGGATCGAATTGACACCTTGAGCTCGTTTGAAAAGCTTCTCAAGCTTGCTCACTTTTAACGCAGTAGGGTCGACCTCAAACTCAAACGGTGCCTCCGTTGGGTAAACCGGTGCTTTGGAAGTCTAGGGTGGAATTGGATCCACTGGGACGTCCGCATTTTCCTGGACATTGGCTGTGGGAGCAAGAGCTCTGGGTACTGGAATGTTTGCAGGAGGTGGATGGGAAGTAGAAGTTGTTGCTTATTGTGGCTGTTGTTGCTGTAGCCTAGCAATCAACTCAGCCTGCTGGGTTGCAATTTTCGATTGGCGGGCAGCATCCAACTGCATATTCTCGATAGTCTGTTGAAGTTGGCGCATCATATCCTCCATGTTGACTGAGGGGTGTAGATGTATCAGAACTGGTGTGTTCTCCCTTTCTGAAGTTGAAGCAGATAACTGGGTTCGACTGAGCAGAGGTGAAGTAGTCAGTAATTGCTGAATTGGCGACTGCTGATCTGGTGAGCTATGCCTAACTCTCCTCTGTCTGGTAATCGGGGGTAGCGAAGCAAACACTGGTTGTCCTCCAATAAGATCCTCAGATCAATAAAACCGTCTTACTCGAGTCCAGAGTGCTCGGGAAATAATTGCCTTGTCTGAAGCAATTGTGAAACTCTACCTTGCAAAAAGAAAAATAAAGCAAAAGAAACAAAAATCAAAAAACACACAGCACCTCGGCTTAGACAGAGACAACACACAGTTGAAATCATAAGCTGGACGACTGTACTCAAACATTGATTTCTGCCCCAAATTTTCTGCCTCAAAACTAATATCCTCAAACTAATACCCAGACTTGCAATTGATACATACATTCCTACAGAGTTACACTCTAAAAGCACATACCAAGCAAGTGAGAGCCAAAACACCCCTATGATGGGGTAGGGTTACCCTGTCCTAATCTCTTCAGGAGCTAGGGATTCACTACGCAAACAAACGGTTTCAAACAATCCTGCATTCGGGTGAGCAACTTGTCCTAGTTTGGAACAGTCTCTAGGGCTTCCGATATACAACTAGGTCGATTGGTCAAAAAGGGTACCTCAGCAAGACCACCCAATATACCTCTCGCACCTAACACCGAGAAGTGAAAAGAGGATCAAATGGTACAGCGGTAGTCCAGATCCAAGGGTTGTGTTCCCATCGTGGCAAAGCCCGCAACCGGTCAGTCTTTTGGCAAGCTTTTCCAAGCAAGCCTCCGGCAAACTGCTCAGGAATAGTAGATGGCAAATACTATGACTTAGGCGCACCAATGAAAATGCAAATGCAATGAAACACATAAGTGAAGATAAAACAATATATCATGAGTTTGAAGTCAAGTTCTCTAAATCCCCAGTAGAGTCACCAGAAACTGTAGCTCGACTTTTTCGAGCCCCCTTTCGGAGAGCTCAAATTGGTCCTACAGTTTGGACTCCTGTCACGG